TTTTTTTTTTTTTGTGTGCGGGAGATGACAATTGCAACACCCCTTGTGTGAGACCTTTTTTTTTTTGTTTTTTTTTTGTTGCGTGAGGCCAGTCAATTACTCCGAGACAGAATTACGGGAAGAAAAACCTTACGGAAAAAAAAAACAACTAAGTAAAATGGGAATGGAAACCCCACCCCATCTCTCTGGGCCCCGTCTTGCGTTGTACGTTCCTCCCTCCCTCCTCTCCTCCCTCCTCTCCTCCCTCCTCTCCTCCCTCCTCTCCACTCACCCCCTCTCCTGCTCACGACCACGTAACGCCAACAGTGTGACCATATATATTGTCGTGACAATATATATTGTCATAGAGAGCTGCCTCCGGTAAACCGTAGGCAGAGAGGGAGGGGGAAGAGGACAACAAACGGGAGGGGTGGGGGGGGGGGGGGGGGGGGGGGGGGGGGGGGGAAAGGGATGTGACAAACAGTTTCAGGTCAGGAGTTTCATCGACTCATATGATAAAATGTTTAAATCATTTTTATTAAAAATCGTTTTTAATCGGTTATTACTGTAAAAGTAGTTATGTTTTTGAAAGAAAAAGGATTTAATTAATGCAGACATTGAAAAAAAAAAAGAGTATGTCAGACCTCTCCCACCTTGTTTGGTGGCTATTCTCAGGGCATCACTCACAGTAGTAGTTTTTCCACTCCGCTCTGGACGTGATTACAGTCAGATGCATCCATTTTCCACTCCGCTCTGGACGCGATTACAGTCAGATGCATCCAGGTCTGGCCGTAATTTTGGCCAGATGCATTTGCGAAATTGCTACCAGTGTGCGTGTGGCCTCGTTATATCGGATTATTTTCCATCGTTCTCCCATCTTTGATCCTTGGTTTACTACTCTGCCAAATTGTACGGAAATATGTCGAGTGCATCCTGCCAAATGGACGCGACTAGATACATTCTCCTTTTGTCGACTGCTGGAACGAGCCCCCTTTCTCCAGTTGTCTTTTTTCTCCTCCTCCTCCTTTCTCCTCCTTTCTCCTCCTTTCTCCTCCTCCTCCTCCTTTCTCCTCCTTTCTCCTCCTTTCTCTTCCTCTCCTCCTCTCCTTCTTTCTCCCAAGTTCTCTCTCTCTCTCTCTCTCTCTCTCTTTTCGTTCATACTCCATCTGTTTCCATTTGCGTCTTCTGCGTTCTTCTTATTCTTTCTTCTTCGGCTTCTCCTTTGTCACCATCGCCATCTTCTTTATCGTTGTTCGTCTTCAGTTTTCTTCTTCTTCCTCTGTCTTTCTCCATTTTCTCTTCCTCTCTTCTCCTCTCTCTTCCTCTCTTCTTCGTTCTCTCTCTTTTCCTTCTCCATATTTGTTTCCATTTGCGTCGTCTTCGTTCTTCTTCTTCGTCTTGTCCTTTGTCCCCATCGCCTTGTTCTTCGTCTTCCTTTTTCTTCTTCCTCTTCCTCTCTGTCTCTTCATTCTCTCTCCCTCTCTCTTCTTCGTTCTCTCTCTTGATTCCTACTCCATATCTGTTTCCATTTGCGTCTTCTTCGGATTTTCCTCTGTCGCCATCGCCGTCTTCTTCATCTTCTTCGTCTTCGTTTTTCTTCCCCTTCTTCATCGTTCTTCTTCTTCTTCTTCTTCTTCTCCCTTCTTCTCCCTTCTCCTCCCTTCTTCTCCCTTCTTCTCCCTTCTTCTCCTCCCTTCTTGTTCTTCTTCTACTTCTTCTTCTTCGCCTCCATGTCGCCATCGCCGTCTTCTTCATCTTCTTCTCCCTTCTTCTCCCTTCTTCGCCTCCATGTTGCATGCAATGTAAATGATCTTCTTCTTCTTCTTCTTCGCCTCCATGTCGCCATCGCCGTC